TCGTGCATCCTCACGACAAGGTCATGTATGGATCAGAATCCTTTGTATGCGGCAGTTGGAACGCGCTTTTCTAACGGCTCGACAGACGTCGAAGCGTTGAAGATTTTGGGTAATGACACTCATCCGGACTACAATAGTCTTGATCGCTCTTACGACTTTGCCATCGTGATGCTAGACGGGGTAAGCCGGTTCCGTTTCGCACAGCTGCCATTACCAACTGAAGCTTCTCGTACTATCTCTCCTGATACGTTAACGACTACATTTGGATGGGGAAGTACGGATCCAACCAAGTGCGACGCCGTAGCTGAAGAGCTACACAGCGTCGATCTTCCGGTATGGGATAACGAAGCCTGCCGAAAAGCATTGGGCTTTGATTTTATTGACGATAAATTTATCTGTGCTGGCGGTGAAGAGGGTAAGGGACCCATGCTGGTTGACATGGGTGGCCCTCTTGTCATAAAGGAGAATGACAAATTTGAGGTGGTTGGTATGCTGAGCTACGCGTTAGAGGGTGCAAAGGGTAAGCCGTCGGTGTTTGGAAATTTGGCGAAAGCGCTTCCGTGGATCTATAACTATCTTGCAGTCCTAACAAGTCACCGTTAAGCGTAAGAACCTAACCATTCCCGACTTTGTTAATTCACGCTGGTACATTGCCGCTGTTTTATCGGTGCAAGTTAAGTTTAAGGTGTTAGTATTATCATACAATAAAACCATTACTTTATGAGAACCTTTTGCTCCTGAATTTATACTTCTGTATCCTTTTAGTCGACATTTCGAAGGTAAGTATGGTACGTTGATTACACTGACCAGCGAATCGCTGCCAAATTACAATACGAAATGTTGCAGTGCCAAAACACCTCTTAACGACAACGCAGTAGCGCTGATATGCCGCACTCAATGTTTGTAGTCTTTCAGACTGATTCTAAGTACTATGAAGTATAATAAGAAAAGCCCTAGCTCAAGCTTATTGTATTCATAGATTATTTAGTAAGCAAGAGCGAACGAACTATGTGGTAAGACTCAAGTGACGCTACAGTAGATCGTGGTTGCTCAACAATATCAACCAGCGAGTGCAGTGGTCTAGACAACTAAATGATTACGACGCTGCCCCTATTATACTCACTTATTACAATTTTGATGAAAATCCTGATCAGAAGTCGTCTCCAGACCAGGGGACTACCAGTTTCATACTTCAATCCCACAATATATTAAACGCTATATATGTTTTTTTACTGAAGAAATCATAATAGTACAAATGCGCCGTCTAGGTCAAGCGAATAAATAGCAAAAGGCGAACAGAATATTGTGAATAAATTAAATTTTCAGTTTCATATGGTATATTCTGTAGAAATTGTTAGAATTCATGTTGAAAACTACCGAGCGGTATATATTCCCTATATAACTTAACTGGAATATCAAAACTGGTTATATTAGGCTAAAGAGGGCGGGCTGTAACGGGGTTACACGTACCCTGTAGGAGTCGCACAAGATTGTGCGACAGTGTGGATTACACAGTTAGTGTAAATACAGAAAAGAAGCCACCAAGTGGCAAGATTGCCAGTATTAATGTATATTAGTATGTTTATACGGTTTTGCTTTACTAATAAGTTATTACTATATTAATGAGGAATACCTAGGGTTCTAGATATTGGCGGTTCTGCCGCATGAAGCAAATAAACACTCTTTTTTGAGCAGAAGTGTTCTTTTGATTTGGCTAAATTTTAGTAGCGGACCGCGATCTGCTTCATTTGTACTAGTTCTTGGAGAGAACGTCGGTCGGTGACCTTAGCTTACCTTCCTCTAAGCAAAGAGCTACGGCAGCCCCACTGCACTTGGTAACACTTGTAGCCAATCTACGCCTGAGTCGTTAAGAATGATCCTCTGTGAGCCTAGGGCATGCAGGACGAGCTTGTTAAGCTGATGTCTCCGCTGGGCCCTGAGGGCGTGGAGTACCTCTTGCGCAAGGACCCGAGACCTTAAGCGCGATTACAGGCGTTCTCAAATTATAAAAATACTCTGTTAGAGTGCTCACAGCAGATGCTGTCAGCGTCGCCAGCGTCTATGACGCCACATTCGACGACGGATAATTTCTTCCAACCCAGGCCGCTCGTGGTGAGCGTTAATATCTTTGAGGATAAAGATGGAAAGTAACTTTTGCTCTGGATAAGAGAAGCCGAGATGGTCATGACATCCGCCATGCTTCAAAACGAGCAGCAGCGCGTGGGCTTGCTATTTTCAAGCTCTGGGGTTGAGCGCCAGAAGGGGTACAAACGTGCGGTGCTTCGGTTGAAGCTGTGTTCCCCTTCTGGAAGGAGCAGAAACGTCGGCTTCTCCGAGTGTTCTCGCCATTAAATCAGGCATATCGCGTGAGATCGCGATTTCATGCTGCCCAACAGGGCAAGAAGGAGTTGGTGGACTTTGTCCAAGAGTTGAGAACTCTCATTGCCAATATGGCAGCCGATCCTCTCCTCGCGGCAGTCGCAGTGACCATATTTATGGAGCGGTGTTTGTGTGTGGAGGCACCCGTCACATTTGGCCTAGTTATCCCCTGCGCAAGGCGTGAAAAGGTTCGTCGAACCGACGTCTCGCTTCTCACTAGTCTGTCTTGTGAGACAAATTTTCAAGCCCCATCGGGCGTATGCGCAGACAGATTTCGACGACATCTTCGTCCGCAGTCATGCGGGGCACGAATATACAGATGAGAAAACCACATCGTCCATTTAGAGCAGTGCTCAAGTGCACGCAAAGAATAGGCTGTAAGCCAATGCCAATAAGTGCATCAACGACGCCAAAAAAATCCCCCTTTTCGAGTGCTTCATTGGAAAAGTGGCATTCAAGCGGATCCTGCTAAGTTCAAAGCCATTGTGGATTGGCCGGTTTAAAAGAAGCAAAAGGACTCGTGCAAGTGGCTTGTCCTCGCCAACTTGCACAAGTGTAGCGAAAATTGTGCGGAATTGGCACGATCATTGTCGAATCTCTTTAAGAAGGATAAAGAATGGTGTTGGACACCAAGCATCAAAAGGTTATTGACAGGGTTAGAGACAGCCTCCTTCATGCACCAATACCGGCGTTGTTCAGACCCCGATCGGCCTTTTGGTGTCTCCTGTGACGCTTCAAACTTTCCCATCGGCTGTGCGCTGCTGCAAGAAGACGCCGAAGGGCGAGATCGGCTGACCGCGTTCGAATCTCGCCAGCTTGAGGCTGCGGAGAGGAACTGCCCAGTTCACGACAAGATATTACTGCTATAGAGTATGCATTTGTCAAGTTCAGGGTGCACCTGCTTGGCTCAAACCGTTATAATCTACACAGATAATGCGTCACTGCGCACTGCGACTCAGTCGCATCGCCTCTCACAGAATGGCTCTCCTTCTTTACGAGGTGAAGTATGACTCAGAAAAGCGAATTGCGTTGGCTAATGCGTTGTCATGCAGTACAGATTATGAAATGCTTATCTCACGACAGGGACATTGTTCGTGACGGACTTGATTCGCGCCGCGTGCGCGGGTGATGATATGTGCGTAACGCTGCTACAGGCTCTCGGGAAAGGTGTTTGGAAACCCGAACTAGTAGTTATCGTCGCGACTGCGTCCACGGCTGCACGATATTCACTGAAAAACGGATTGCTGTATTATAGCACCGACTTGACGGATGCACCACGAATTGTGGTTCTTTACAATGAGGATTTAAAGTACCATATTCTCCATGAGGCCCACGACCTCCCACTTAGTGGTCATCTCGGTCGTGAGAAGACGTACAGCTCTGTGCTCTACCACTATTGAAGACCGAAGCTGTACAAGTAGCACATATGTGTGCACGTGTGAGACGTATCAGAGGGTGAAACCCTCTCCGAATGCGGCGCGCCGCTGGACAATTTACCGGTATCCTCCGGGTGTTGGCAGTTTTTGAGTACAAACCCTGTGTTTAGTATGCCAACAGGCAACACGGGCACGGGTGCAGTGGACTTTGTGGACTGTTCGAGTAAGACGACTCATCTTGCGGCAGTGCTAGACACCATCGACGGTGTGGGTACAGCGACGCTGTTTGACGGTCGTGTCTTTCGACAAAATGGACTCCCGAAGTCCATTGGCTCTGATAAAGACCCTTACTTCACTGGGAAGTTTTAGTCTACACTCTTCAAGTTGCTAGGCACCAAGTTGACTATATTAACAGCGGACCATCCGCTGACCGATGGTCAGACTGAGCGCGCAAATCGTGTCGTTGAAAACGTCCTTCGCTTCGTCTAGAATAAGACGCCGAGGTGCTGGAGCAGCATGTTGCCACTCGTAGAGTTTGTTCTGAACAATACAGTGCATTCATAGTGCATTCAGAGTTTGTTCTGAACAATACAGTGCATTCTACCGTCTATACGCCGTTCTAAGTGAACGGGCTTATTAATCCTCGTGTCTCGCTGACGCCGCTATCCCATGACTCATGACTTGGAGAGGGAGGAATAACCGAACAACTAGCTGATGTCAGCCCTCTCACTATTCGTAAAGAAGTTGATGACTTCCTGTCTACTAGAATGGGTGTCTTACAACACGTTCGCGATGCGATAGCTAAAAGCCAAGACATGCAGAGGGGATATGCAGACAGGAGAGGTAGAGGAAATGGTAAAAACGTGTATGTCGGAGACCTGGTTTATTCAATGCTAAAATCCTTCCTTTACATGCAATTTCCGCTGTCTTTGAGACGAAGCTCCATCCACGCTTTATCGGACCTTTTAAGATCGTGATCAAGCGGGGCCTTGCGTATACGCTTAAACTTCTGAGAAGGATACACACCCACTGGTGTTTTATGTAGGCTTGCCAAGCCGTATCTGGACCGGCGCAAGTGACGCGGAAGCGTTGGCGCAGAAGCGGCACATACAGGCGCTCGACCACCTAGAAACTGAACCAGCAACTGGTTTTTAGTCAGGAGTGTAACGATCTTCATATCCAATGGTGCCAATCGCTCCACTTTCGCAATAAGCGACGACGCATTTGTCTGCTCAGCGGCTAGGTGCCGTTCCGACAAAGCTCGACAGCTCTCAACGTGAGACATCCGGTGTGCAACGTGCGCCAAGCTTTCTAGGTCTTCCGCGCAGCGGTATGCAATCCTAGCATGATACTCAGCGGAGTTGCAATGGTGACGGACCTCGTCCTCATAAGCTCGAAGAAAGCATCACGACTCACCGGACGGCAAACGACCTAGTCGTCATCGTCCGCTGCTGACCATTTTCGACAAGACTGGAGGTGTCCGGTGTTCACTATCCCGTGAAGCGTCTTGTGGCTCAACGCCGCCGCCAGGGCCAAACTCATTATCCGCTAAGCTGGCGGGGATACTCAGACTCCGAGAACTCGTGGGACTTTGAAGTGCTACTTTGGCACGACTACCCAGACGTCATGGACGCTTATGATCTGAGAAATCATGAACTGTTGTGTCGTCATACACCCCGCGCTTTTCAGCAATAGCCAGGGAAGTCGAAGGGTCATAAGCTGACCCCAAGTTATGACCCTGAGCTGCTGCGGTACAGACTCACCCATGTGAGAGACCACAGAGCTCGCGGGAACGTGATGAATGACCCCATACGTCGCAGGGCGACAATCCGAAGGAAGTCGACGACGCGCTTTGAGATTGGCAAATTTAACCAAAGATGGCGTTCCACGCGCGCCTCTACCTCCTTTTGGCTCAACAGTAAGCTGTTACAGCGAAGAAAGTTTCAGGTGCCGCTGCACCCATCGCTCAGAGAGCTCTTCGTCATCTGCATCGGTGCTGCCAGGGGCGAGCACTACAGGAATCGTTCTTGTCGCGGGTACAGGAGCGCCTCCTTTTTCAGCACGAAGTCGAGTGCGGTACGTATTTACCGGGATTTATGAGGAATCATGAAACGAGCTCGGGGAACTTTTCGTTCGTCAAGCTCAGCTTGTGTAGTGGCCGGGGGCCCGACCACGTAAAGACACCCAACGTTCGAGTGATCGCGTCTTTCGCTTCTATAGCGGGATCCGCCGAGAGAAATCCGTATTCCACACGAGGGGCGAGGACTGCGCGCATATGAGAGCCGCCGTGTGAGCAGCACCCAGCTGCTACCTCGGTGCCTCGTCGAGGTGATTGGTAATGATACTACTTCCCCCAGAACTCGAGAGTTCTGGGAACGGACACGACGTTCGCAAGGTTCGAGCAGGGCTCACATCGATTTACTGGGGCACCTCGTCCTCTTCTTCTTTCCATCATGGGAAAGTAGTATTTGATTCTTAGTCGACTCACTCCAAATCCTCGACGAGGTGAACCGTCGCCGCTGTGCGCGGTCGGGAGTAGACATCGCGTCTGTGTTGCTGGTCGTGCGACTCTGTCACTGACAATGCGCTGCGCGGTACTCAGTTACCGAGAGCTTAGGATGCGCTTTTCTTGAAGCCACGGACGTGCTGTCCGAAGTTGCACCGCGTGCAGGGGACTAAGAAGGGCTCCGCCCGTGGGCGTTCTCGGACCGGTGAGGTTGGACGTCTTTCTATCCTCGACACAGGTCTCATCGAGCAGAGAACTTGTGAAGAAGGTCCTGGTGATGTCGGGGTTTAGACACGCGAGCCTCGTTTGAGACGACAGTTGACTGTGAACTATAGGTGTTCACATTCTTGATAGGGAGAATGTAACGGGTTTTCACGCGCCCTGGTGTGAAGGGTGTGGTGAGACAAGATGGTGTGACCAACAATGGTGTGGCTCCACTTGAACAAGAAGTCAGTGCGTGGCTGGAACAGCCAGTAGTTAAACAGTTAATTAGGGTTTACAACATAGATAGGAAAACCTAGAGATTTAGATATAGGCGACTTTGCCGCAACCAAAACCGAAAAATACAGCTTACGTTTTAAACAGAAGAGTTTATTAACCTTGGATTACGGTTGTAATTAGGCTTGAAGTAAGTGGATTGCGCTCCGCTACGCTCGTACTGGTTCTGAGTTAGAACGAAGGTCACCGACCTTAACCAAGCTTCCTCTGAGTGAAAGAGCTACGGCAGCCCTGCACTTCTCGTTGTTGATGAAAAGGATCATCGTCGTCACCGAAAGTGGCACTTTTTTTCTCTCACGCGCCGGCACACATACAATCGTTATCGATGTAATTAGTATTACTCTTATCACAGCGTCTTTTATTCTGCCCCCCATAGAGCTCATCATTCGCATTGTGAAGTATCAATGGATCAGCGCTGTGAGAAACGTGTGCACAACCGCCATCTATACGGCTAAATTATTTCTTAGGTATTCAAGGACGGTGTCGGTCCGCAACTCGCGGAATCTCGCAAAAGCTTTCATGTCGTGGAATGATGGTAGCGATGAGCTAGTTAGTGATCAATGGTAACCAGAGCTGTTGGTCATCTATGAATTTGTATAAGCCTGGTAATCTCCTGCCACATTCTCATCAGTTACTCTTCAATTAGTTTTCAAGTGCCACCAATGCTGTGGTCCACTGTTATATTTTGCGAATCTTCGTCTGGGCAGTAGCACGATAGTATACTTGCAGGTTCCATCCAGCGTCAGGATGGCTAGGTAGAGTCCGCGTGCAATACGTGACGCACCGATACGGAGCACCTATTTCGTCGCATGCAAACTATAAATGAAGATCAAATTTCCAGATGTATTATATGATGTACATATGCAGGCTCAGTTTTCGAAATGTGCTTTTGAGTTCTAGAATATCAAAATATTACTGTCCTGCAGCAAATCCTCTCTATTTTTATTAATTCTGTTATTAATGATCATGAAGGTCTCGACCCTCTATGAAGCATATATCGCGAAAATTTTGTGGTGACGAAGCTTGCATACACAATGTGGCAGCCGCCACGAAAGACTCTACTTCTTCTCAGAATAACGTAGTTTTGAACTGTGACAGATGTAACAAGGGTTCGAGCATAGCTTAAACATGTCTTCTGTTTGACCGCTTCTATTTTATTCGCTTGGTTTCATCAAGGCTTGTATCATAGCGGACTGACAAGATATTCTAAAATGATAACAATCTTAATGTATGTACTCGAGAGCTGACCACAAGGAAGAATCATTTCGTTTTCCATTGTCGAAGTCCTTAGTTTGATTGTACAAAGTATTGTAGAATCAATGAGCCAAGCTTGTCAGGCAAAAAAACGCATTTTTAAAAAAATCGAAATGTACGGGATCTAATCTTCATGGAAGCTGAGCAAGCGGCGCTTATGTGATGAGATCCTCAAATTTCTGTCACCAAAGAGCCAATTTGTGCAAACTCACTTGGACTCAACTTTTCATTGACGACAAATTAGACCGATGGCGGCGCGCACTAATGTAATCCTAACGAGCCAACATCGACACACCATCGATAGTCAAAGTATTCAGGTGCCGTTAATATGATAAGACGGTTACGTCAACCCAATTCATAAAAGACGCTACAACACGTTAATACAACAGCAGGAAGCTTCTAGGTTGCGAAACGTCGATATCGCATTTATCGTCTCATCCTTTCAGTTGTCCGTCCAGCTTAAATTTTATTCAAATTCGGTCGGTTGTTCTGTTGATCTCGTGACTGAAAAGAGCTCGCACATGGGTGAGCGCACTTACCATTACGAGATAGGTCGGTCTTGGGCTTTCCAACCTTTGAGATAGGCTGGAATATGTTTGTACTGTATTGCATATCAAGCAAAATTATGACTTGGAGATGGGCTAAGAACGTAAGAGCGATAATGTCACCCTTTATAAGTGGTATGCACTCTTCCGCATATGCATGCACGATAATAATGTCGATTTGCAGAGAATAGACCTCCCATATAAAACTCAACTGACATTTCTGTCTGCATGTCTCTAGGAATGGATGGTTTGAACCTTGTACATTGCTCAGCTCAAAAAAAATTATCTGCAGCATTCCATTCATTTCATTTCCAAATTCTACAGCTTACATTACCTCTGAATAATGTTTCCCACCTCCACCTCAAAGATGCTTTCAAGTGTCGTTCTTGGGTCGCTCGCTTTAGGATCAGTCTCTGCCATTCTTGGTGGAAACATCGTTGAACTTGACGTCGCAAGGTTCATGACGAATTTTCGTCACGAGAAGGACGGCAACGCTTTATGTGGTGGAGTTTTAATTGCTCCATCGTGCGTCCTCACGACGAGGTCATGTATGGAGCAGAATCCTATGTATGCGGCAGTTGGGACGCGTTTTTCGAACGGCTCGACAGACATCGAAGCGGTGAAGATTAAAAGTAATGACACTCATCCGGACTACAATCAATTTGATCGCTCTTACGACTTTGCCATCGTGATGCTAGATGGTAGAACCCGTCCCCGTTTAGCACAGCTGCCATTGCCATCCGAAGCTTCTCGTACCATCTCTGCTGGTACAATAACGACTACATTTGGATGGGGAAGCACGGATCCGACCAAGTACGACGCCATAGCTGAAGAGCTGCACAGCGTCGAACTTCTGGTATGGGATACCGAAGCCTGCCGAAAAGCATTGGGCTTTGACTTTATCGACGATAAATTTATTTGCGCTGGCGGTGAAGAGGGAAAAGGACCCATGCTGGTGGATATGGGTGGCCCTCTTGTCATTAAGGAGAATGGCAAGTTTGAGGTGGTTGGTATGCTAAGCTACGCGCTAGAGGGTTCGAAAAACAAGCCGTCGGTGTTTGGAAACTTGGCGAAAGCGCTCCCGTGGATCTACACACATCTTTCATTTTTATCAGGTCACCATTAAGCGTTAGATCTTTGCCATTCGCGAGTTTGTTGATTTACGCTGGCAAACTACATACATTTGTCGATTTTGGTTAAACGGAGTCCAACCTCGCCGTTTTTAGCTTTGACTCAAACGTTGCCTTCTATATACGAGGTGGTAGCATTTTGTTAATAAAATCATACAACAAAGTCATGACAAAATAATTTCAACTGATTACTGTACCTTACTGTTATCTATTCGTTTCAAAGTTTAGCTCTAAACTTTACTAGAACCGGGTGGTAAGTATGGAACGTTGATCACACTGACTACAAATCGCTGCAAAGTTGTATTACGAAACAGTGTAGTGCCAAAGATGACGACGCACTAGCCGTCATACTCTACGCTTGCTTTTCGTAGCCTTTCAAACCAATGAAGAGACTGAGAATCATAACAAGGTAATACCTTAACTTAAGCACATTGTATTCATGGATCATTCAGTTAACAATTGCTGACGATTTATGTGTGACGCTTTGGAAAATAGGGCTTGCTCAATAATATCAACGGGCAACAAGACAACTTGGTAATTAAGATGCTGCGCTTGGCAGAAATTTGATACATAAGATTTATACTTTACTTGTTCCTAACAATTACTTCGCAAATAAAAAGCAGAGCGAGAACAATAGTTGAGTCACTAGGAAACATGTTTGACATGAATAGCCTAGTAAGAAGTAGTTCTAGATACAACTTACAGCGGACACGTGCGCATACGCTGAATTAACTATTGATGGCAGCGTAGATCAGTACAGCGACATTCATGTCATCATTTGGTTCTTGATGATCTAAGAATCCGTGGTCACCGAATTTGGCACTCTTTCCCTCACAGCCGACGCATAAACAATATTTTGTCACTGATAAGTATTTGACTTGTCTTCTACTCTCCCACTCCTCGAGCTCAACATGGATTCGCGCTATGAAGTATCCGAATCTTTAAATGAGTCATCGCCAGGACTGCTATATTTTAGCTGCACGGAAGTGGTACTTGTGCTTCCAATGATGGCTAGGTAGAGCCCGTGTTCAACGCATGTAATGAACACGTGAGCTGGGGCGACAAGTTCGTAGCCACGTAGGACTCGAACAAAGCGACGAAAATATTTACCATTCGATGTGATGGTGAAGTGAATCTTAAAGCAAAAAAATCAAGTCATGACTCTTTGCGACGGAAACATGTCCATCCTGGTCGTTTTGTGCATGGGTGCGGCCAATGGATGGCATATTACTTTGATTACGGTGGAAACGGGACTATTACAACCCATGGCTTCTTGCAGATATTCTTACTAAGAGGGTAATATTGAGTCACTGATTGGTATGGAGCAATTCATTTTTCCCTCGTAAATTTGTAATGCATTTTGCTTATAGTGAATTCTTGATCCAATAATTTTGCGAATTTGAGCTTTACCACCAAATATTACAAGCTACTGAACACGAAGTTTCTGTCTCATACATAGTGCAGCTGAAATATATAAAGGCCGTCCGTTAGCACTATAAGTACTTCTCGATTTGAGTTGACGCTTTGATTTGCTGTCGTAACATAATCCTCATTCTTTATAGTTTCATCAGCTTAAATTGGAAAATGCAGTTTCCAGAAAGGACAAATCGGCTGTGAGTTGCTGATAACAGATCCCCCGATGCTAAGCGCAGTCCCCCCTACCTTAAATAATAGAAAAGCATCCTGGGCAAACAGGACAAAAAATTAAGAGGCATTTCCATTATGCGGCATGCACCAATAAATTTGCCGTCTAATCCCTCTATGCTCGACTTCGCGTTTCTGCTCTCTCGTCAAACTTCATGAATTTTTCCAAAGAGTACGGAAACCCTGTCTCAACCTAAGACTTTGCGTGCGAAGAAAACGCTTCTTTATCCTGTGCTAGCTGCAAAATGCTATGTTACTAGTAGGCTGTCATACCGCCAATTCTGGAGTTGGACCATTCAACACTTTATACATGAATTTATGTAGGATCCCATACAGAAAAAGTGTCGGCTCGATTCAATGACTTTTACACCAACTCAGTTCAATGATGTAGCCAAAAGCATAAAAAGCCGAGATCGAAAAAAGGGTTGCTGTTGTTCTTGTACAATACGATGTACAGTGTCAGAAACTGCTTGTGCTCAGCGGATTCCTTTGTTTCACCTGATGATTTTTTTCATAAATGCAGCAGCATGTCACTCTAATACTTATAATTAAAGGGTGTACTTTTTGCCTAGGATACTTCTATCTTGATTTTAGTATGTGAGGTATGCACTGAGATTTGATAAGGAAAGCCATATCAGTTGTGTGTTGCTGTTGTATACGATTGCATTTTCGTTTTCTCCTCCACATCGTTAGAAAGTCTGTTGTTCTCAAAGGATTACGGACTCTACCTGCGAGACTTAGAAGTAGGAAAGGTAGTACTGAATGCTGATTTTCGCATGAGTCGTTCCACTTAAAATTCTGGAGCTGCAAACAAAAGTCCAGTCTTTTCGAATAATCTGGCGTTTTGACCATAGGAGCATTGTTATGTCTAAAAAGTGCATGATTAGGTCGTACTTCTGTGCTCACTGGTCGGAGCTTCATTCCCAAACAATATTTCATTCTTTTGAAGAGGTTCATCTCTGGTATAGCGCAGCAGTAAAATTTGATCCTGCTATCTGAAAAAATCCTCGATGTTAAAGAATTCTTAGTTACGCTATACCAAACAGGAAAGTTCGCCGTGGTGTTTTCAAAAGCTTCTGGTACCTGGAAAGAAAGCTGAGACCCGCAAGTATAATTGAAAGACCTAATCATGCACCTTTTAGACATATATATGCTTTCGTGGTGCACTGCAAATTCAGGATTTCTTGTGGAACGACTTATGCGAAAATCAAGGCTTTCTTCTGATAAATCTTGCAGGTACGAGTCCGTAATCCTGTAAACATTACAATTTTTTTCATGATGGGAAGGAGCTCACGAAAATGTGATTAGCAAGTCACAACTGACATGGCTTTCCTAGAAACCGCATCTCCCCCATCAAAGCTGATAATAGTGTAGAGAATGGAGCTAAGCTATTTGAACAAATGAGGCGTCAACGCAGTCCAGGTAGTTCTTGATGGATTATTAAATTTATAAAAACATTTAGAAAACTGCTTCAATAGCGTGCACAGCGATTATAATAAGATATTGGTCACAGAATTATTTTTCGTTCTTACATGAAATATATACAAACAAAATTATGCTTCTCTTAGGAACCCTCAAAAGATCAATTTTTCAGGACAAGTTCCACTGTACCTCTCAAATGCTGATTGACCAGGACAGGAAAAAGGATTCCAATAGTCCTGTCCACCAATATTATCTTATATGGTACTTATCTGCCGCACTCATCTGCTGCCACTCTCATCCACATGTCTCCACACCATGAGCATAATTAACATGGTTCCCTTTTGAACGCTTTGCGTTGTCAAGGCTTACGAGATTCATTTACAAATTCATTTTCGGATTCACTTCCTACAGCACACATCACCTTCAATCTAAAATCCATCACAACCATGAAAGTCATTTTCACCGCTTTGTTTGGGTCCTTAGCTATTGGATCGGTTAGCGCCATCGTTGGGGGGAAACAAGAACCCCCGCGCTCCAAACCGTACACGTGCAATGTGCGTTTCTCGGCTGATAGTGAGGCTGTTTGTGGCTGCGCACTCGTCTCCTCGAAGCACGTGCTCACTACTGCGACCTGCGTCGGACAAGGAGATTATTACGTGTCCCTGGGTACGTTCTTTAACAGAGGTAGGGAAGATGGCCAGCAATTGAAGGTGGTGTCGATTCTAAAACACCCGAAGTATGAGGACCCCGGTCGTCGAAACGACTTTGCCATTCTAACGCTTGATGGAACTTCCAATTATGCTCCTGTGCAACTGCCGATGAGTGAAGATTCATCCAAAAATCTCAAGACAGGAGACTGGGTCACAGCCATGGGATGGGGTGGTACTGATCCGTCAAACGGTTACGGTTACTCTGAAGTGCTTCAACGCGTCGAACTTGAGGTGTGGGAGAGCGAGAGATGCCGTAATACGACACACTTTGATTTCATCGACAGAACATTCTTCTGCGCCGGTGGTGAAAAGGGAAAGGGTGTCGCTTACGGTGACCACGGTGGTCCGGTCATTCTTAAAAATGAGAAGGGACCAGATGATGATGTGCTGATCGGTTTGGTTAGCCGCGCTCCCGATAACAATTTGGATGGCATTCCTGCGGTGTGTGCCCGCGTGTCGTCGGTCCGTGACTGGGTCAAATCTAACACCATCACTTACTAGACTACCCATGTCAAGCTTTGCTTTCAAGTTTCGTAAGGAATTCATGCTACCTAAGTTTAGTTTTCATTCTCCTTTTCTTTCGGTTTTATTCCCACGAAAAAAATATTGGGTTTTCACATTATCGTGTTTGTTCTGAACAAATTGATTTACTTCTCTTTGACAAGGGTCTCCATATCCATTTACAGAGCCTTCTGGCTGATCGATTGTAACGACCTCTTTGTATTTGTCTACATTCAGAAGAATGCCATATCGTCGTTAAGTGACCTTAGCTACTCTGATTAGTTGACAGTGTAATTTTGAGATCATAAACATCTTTTTGTGCTTAATGTGTTCTCACAAATTACATTTTTGCTCATCGCTTGTGTATATCATACCGCTCAGAGTAAATGCTTTGCGGTGCACCCATCGTCAGCGGTGGGTTTGTTCTCAATGGACAGTGTCTTGTTTGGACACCATTAGACTGTGTCTGCTTGACATGCTCACAGTTGCAGCAGCAAATTTTGATCATTCGTACTCGCTCAAAAATAACATCCATATTTCAAATGCAGAATCGAACAAAGTACAAGGTTGAAAGAAACAATTTGACTGATGGGACCCTAAATGGTTAACAGTTGAAAACTCAAACTGCGCACCAAATGTGTAAACTTGAACGCAAGCAAAATGAAGAAAAGTCCATAAATGCTCTCTCGGTACTGGGTAAAGACTATGGCGATGGCGCTGGTTGTACGTGTTGTACAAAAATAATTACGTACTTGCGAACCCAATGGACTGGTTGGCCAGTAGTAGTCGTACACGAAACAACACTTTTCTTTCTCGTCAAGACATCTTTACTCAATCCTTACTAACGTAAAAGCATTAATGTATCGTTAGCGTTCAAGCAAACCGCGTTGTATAGTACTAGGTCGTATACATCTACATCTGACTACAAACGACGTGGTTGTGTTGACAATGCTAAAAAGAGAGTTTACAGAGCAGGAATTGACTGGCCCATAGGTTGTTACAAAATGATGAGCTCTACGATCCTATCACGGCCCATAAAATCAAACGTTTTTTTTCTATTGCTTTCAGTTGTACAATGAGACGAACGCCAAGCAAATACATCGGGTTCTCTTCATCCCTTATGTGTTAGAAGAACAGCTATCAGCACACGTTGCGCGATCGAATCTCCGGACCATAGGA